GAAACTCCCTCTCGCCTCACCCACGCGGCCGCCGGCGGCCGGCGGGAGAAGGCATTGGATGATATTTCTCTTATTTGATTGAGTGAGCTGCGCGACATCGCCGCGACCGCGCACGCTGCTCATGAGGAAGAACCCCTCTGTGGTTCGAAACTAGAGCTTTTCTCAGTATATTCACGTGAGTAACCCGCGTTTTTACTTAATTTTGATATTTCTCCCTCAAAAAAAAAGGTATCATATAAGATCACCTAGCTGTTGAACGTCAGTATATTGCTGTCGAACGTCCGTATATAGCTATTGGGCGTCCGTATATAGGTATTGGGCGTCCGTATATAGCTATTGAACGTCCATATATAGCTATTGGGCGTCCGTATATAGCTATTGAACGTCCACGTATAGCTATTGTGCGTCCGTAATATGTCAATAAGATAATAAGAATATATTATCTTATTACTAGAATGTTTTAATTATCTCATAAATAGTGAAAAGTGTATAGTGCACCTCAGCTTACCCCTTCGGGGATAAAAGGCGTGATGTTATGTTATGTTTAATATGGATATCACTTTTATTCAAGTGTTTATTATTTAAAGTCAAAAACATTTATAATTCCTAATTGAATCTTTATAACACGCCGAGGAAAATAATAAAAAGACAAACGTTGATTGATTTTATCAGTAATACTATACAACATTCATTAATTATTCAGTGTTATATGCACCTTCTAACCACAAAAATAGATAAAGTTAATAAAAATACGTCAAAATTTATACGGAAACTATACTATACGAGTTAAACTCTAGTTAACCTTTTTTTGTGGTAAAACATATAATTTTGTCACTTTAGTACTTATTTCTAAGATCCAATTAAATAGTTAATTTATACCCTCATCTGTTATATATCAGTGATAGGTACTCATTGACAAATTGAGAACAGGATTGCAGATAAGTTGTCGTAAGTTGCACTGACATGTATTAACTCGTCGAGTACCGGTTTTGTAGACACAATTATAGAACAATAGGTTGCGGTCACCGGTGACCGCTTGGTGTTTGACAGTTTAAAATGTAAATAAAACTAATTGAATAAAATCGGACTCCAAATAATACGCAACACATCCGAATCTACGACGGTGAATATTGTTTTGAATGCGGTAGATAATATTATGATCTATTGAGACAGATTTAATGAGCGAACTGGCAACGTCGCTGTTATTTTTTTTGAGGACGCCAAATAGGCGGAATTATAGTCAGAAAATCCCAAAAATATACAGCTGTGGATATACGCGCTACAGCAGCGCTCTAGCCGCGCTGAGATTTCTTTGGGAACTTTTCAAAATACTATAACAGCCATTGAACCGTCGCTGTTATTTTTTTTGAGGACGCCAAATAGCGCAAAATATATATATATATATATATACCGATATATATAAGGATATATATACATATATATATATATATATATTTACTATTATAAATGGGAAAGTGAGTTTATTTGTTTGTTTGTTTGTTCCGACTTCACGCCGTAACTACTAAACCGATTGCATTGAATTTTTGCAGACGTAAAGTTAGTAGTCTGGATTAAATAATAGGGTACTTTTTATCCCGAAAAAATTTGATATTCCCGAGGGAAAACAAAAGTATTGGTATAGATGGCGCTGTATGTATTGGTATATGTCACATAGACTACTTTTTATCCTTTTGTGACGCGAGCGAAACCGCGGGTAAAAGCTAGTATTTAATAATATTTTTGTTTTAAGAATCATGGTAGCCCGGAGGTTTAAGACGCCTGCTTCTCATAAGGGTGTGGTTTTGAAACCTACTAACAGCAAGTACCAATGTGACGTTTTCAATGATATATGTACGTTCTAAGATTATTTAGACATCATTGACGAAACGGTGAAAGAAAACATTGTGAGGAAACCTAATCTTATAATTTCTAATTATAAATTTGAAATTGCTAATCCGCATTGATTTGCAAGCGTGGCGATTAATGCTCAAATCTTCGTGTGAGAAGAGGCCTTTACTCAGCAGTGGCCACATATAGGCTGTTGGTGATTTGATGATTGTATTGTGTACTTTTATAATAAACAATATAAATACGTATAACTGTAAAATTTGTCTGTTTATTTACATTTTTGTAACCTACGTTGTCAAAGAGGATAATAAAAAATAGTTAATTAGTGTTGAAGAGAAAAGAAAATCATTATCTCGTACACAGTACTAATATTATAAAACATGTGGTTGTTTATTTGCTTCTATTGCTACGAAATCGTTAAGCCGATTTGAAAATTACTTCACTATTAAGACAGTACTTAAATCTATATCTCATTATGTGCGAACGACTTTAATTATCTTCGGTATCACTTGTTCGATTTAAAAATTATTCTGTGTTGGATAGTAGGTACATTTATCGAGGAAGGTTATAGGGAGCATTTACAAATACATAAACATGATGATACACCTAATAGATGCCGAGAAATGGTTAATACCATGCGAGAATAATAAGTAAAGATTAAAATAAATACAATATCACTTATTTCACTCACAATATTCTCCTAAATAATAATTGTATCTAAAATTATGTTACTTGTGTGAACTTACATCAAAACTTCGCCGGTAACCCGCAGGTTTGTGCAATTTTCGAGTCTTCTTCTTCATATTCTTGTGGTGAGTAACTGGCCTTACACCAGGAGCTTTAACTGTATGGTCATATTTATGCTTATTTTGCTTCGATCCTCCACGGTGCCTCAATCGAAGTTCCTCGTTCAGTTTCTTATTAACTTCCATTTTGCTACGAACATGATCAGGTTTGACATGCTTTTTATGCGCTACATTATCTGGAATACCATTTTCCTCTTCTTTCTTTTCGTATCTATTAATCTTCTCTTGTTTTCTAGGCGGTGGGAGAGTATTATCCTCAATTTCATCAAACCTGTCATTGTAACGGTCTTCGTCACCGTAATTTCTCTCATAGTAATCATATTTTCGAGTTTTAGTATGTTTTTTGTTGTTCAAAATATCGATCAGTTTATCATCTATTCCTGTATAGATTTCATCGCTTTCTACTTCTTTTTGTTCCGGGTAATCATATATTACATTCATTTCGTCTTTTTCTTCAACTGTATGTTGGTTTATTTTTTCATCTCTGGGCCAATGACGACGTTCTTGCATATGACTATAGCCATTATGAGAGTTAACTTTATGTTGTAAATAATTTCTCACCTCCTGTAAGTGGTTTTCTCTTTCTATTGGGCTTAATTTATCTAAATTTACATCGTGTTTCGCATTTTGATTTTTCAATTTCAGTCCAGATTCGTATATCTTCCTCATTTTAATGTCGAATAATTCTCGTGCGTCACCTTCGAGTTCTATGTCTTGGACTGCTTTTTCTAAATGGTCTAAGATTGAAAGAAATGTTTTATCATCAACTACATCTTCGTTTCCTGCATAAGGATCAGTATTATGTTCCCCACTGCTGTACATCTCATATTTTTCTGGCTTTAATTCTTCACTAATCACAACGTCATGTAATTCAAATTCTTTTTTGTGGATCTTATTTGGCATATTATGAATATCATTTGCGCGCATAACTTTATGAGGTTTCATCATATCGTTTGTAATCTGAAATAAATAAAATGGTTCAAGGATGTTCGTATAACTGAATTTACACGTCAACATTTCTAGTTTAATTTTCTTATTGCAAAATCAGACAGACTACACCAAAAGTACAAAAAAAGATTTCTTTGAAAATAGACTATTTTCTTTCTATAATAAACAAAGAATAAATAAATCTAATTGCAAATCAGGCACTCAATTGTGGCTAGCTGCTATACGATGCTTTAGGGACCAATTGTTTTAATTTAAATGTTTGTCGAACCATTTCTCGAAAAGATAATTACCTCTTTATAGGCAATTTCATCTGAAATGTCCGTCTCTTCTACTGAATGCTCTTCTGGGAAGAAACTTCTGTTTCCAAAGCTGTGAATTTTAAAGTTTAAAAAGTAAGATTATATTACGTTCAGATAATTACGTGGCTATGGACGCTAAGTTTAATTAATACTAATTTTAATTAGTCTAATTAATACTTTTAAGTCTATAGTCCTTTCTGAAATTCATCTGTGAACAATGTGCATATATTACATTTGCAATAGTAAAATTAGTTTTTATTCTAGTGTTTTTATAAAAAACCGAATGTACCTTTTGTGGAATTGATATTCGATATCATTCTCTGCTTCATAAGAGTTAGGAGGTACATCTTGTATTTCGAAAATTGGTAATATCGCAACTTTAGGTTTTCCTTCTGAAAATGATCCCATCAGACCACTCATTGGACCATCAGATGGCGTCGTCTGCACTTCTTTAATTTCTGGACGTTCATATTTCTGTTTTTGTTCACGCATAACTGTAAATCCATATTTTGCATATTAAACAGACGCATTTATTAGTTTGTGAAGAGATTTTGTAATTAAGATTCATATTATCATTGAAATGGCAAATGTAATTGACCCACGGAATGTATAGTGTCTATAACATCATTAGGTACGTTAGCAAAATTCAGGTGTCACGTGACATGAATATGCATAGGTACTATTGCACATCCAGTTATATAAACCAGTGTATTATTTTTTTTTATAAAAGGTACGTTTACAAACATACAAGTTTACATACGCATGACACTCAGATCCGGAACAACAATCTGTGGATCACAAACAGAGTTGTTTCGCGGGGGAAACGAACCCGCGACACGTTGCGCGGCAGCCGGTTGCCCAGCCACCGTGCCAACCATGCAATATAACATGGTATCATGTCGAGCATACATGAAAATACTGATAACTGTTGAGGAAACGAAAGAGTTATGTGAAAATCGTAGCAATTGGCTTTCCATAGTCTCTCCCTACTCTGTGGGAGACAGGCGTGTGGCTACGTATGTATGTGTGTGTATCGTGATCTCGTTTTGTATGATACTTCCTCACATTCTACGGTTTTGTTTTGCATATATTGATGTGTACCTCTTTTTTCCGTAATAAAAGGACTTAGGTACCTTTTGTCTTGCTGATGTACATGCGTGGATTTCTTTCACAGAGGCAGCCAGTAGTCTCCCTGTACCCTTGAGGGCAGCCGCAGGATTCCGTAAAACCTGTTCCTGGTATCGGAGGGTCTGTGGTGTAAAGAGGTTGCGACTTCTGAGGCTCGTCAGATATGTTGCAAACTAATTGGATGCTCTGAAAAGATTCGTGAAAGTTTTTGATTATGTTTTTGTTTTTGGTCAATTGTTTTTATTTGTTTTACTTTCTTTTTTATTTGTTTGGCCACTATCTTTTTTGGTCAACTGGTTAAACCACCATAAACAAATATTAGCGACTTAACCGACCATAACACATGTCTCAAGGATAAAATGTATGAAAATAAATTACTTTGAATTTTAGATCAAATTTTGATAACCTACTAGAAGAAAAACAAGAAGTTAGAAAACGGACTTTTTAGGACGTACATTGTAAATATTTTGTGCGCCATTAGCTAACATTTGGAACCTTCTGTACGCCGATATACCGCATCCAATGTGAGTTGCTTTGCCACGGATTAGCTTTAAGTAACTCCTGGATCCCATATCTGGAATTCTGTTAACAAAAAAAGCGTGTATAATACACCGATAGGTAGTAAGAGCTATTTTTATTTTACATCATAATATTTAATTTGTATCCTTTCCCCGAAATGGACCGGCAAACAATTCTGATGTCGTTTTGGTATTCATGAATGCGGTGATTGCTGGCCCTCAAGCGATATCTATATCATAAAAGAGACCAGATGGTCATTTTTATGGGATAAGCCGGTAAACTAATAGACAGATCACCTGATGGTAAGCAATCGGCGTCGCCCATGGACACCCGGAATACTAGAGGTGTTACAAGTACGTTACCGGCCTTTTATGGATTAGGACTTTGAGTGCTAAGGATTCAGGGATTCGGGAGATTGGGGATGGGGGAGGGTAATTGGTTCGGTCCTCAATCATTTCACGAAACACAACGCAAGCGTTGTATCACGTTAGTTTTTTGTGCGGCCATGGTATCACTCCGAGCATGGCTCTCCCACACTTCAAAGCTCGTGTAATGGTAAGCGGTCGCCGTCGTGTAGGTAGGTACATTAGAAGCATTACAAATGCGTTGCGAATGATAGAAGTCGTCATAGGTTATTAATTATAATGTTTTTTGTCTTCCCATGTAATTATTTGATGACAAACGAGGAACTTGAGAAAGTAGAAGCGCGACAGTCACCTTGTCGTGTGACGATGAATGCTGCTCATTAATTTAAGCCTCTAGTATGGTTTGAAACTAATCGAGTTCCTCGTCAAATAATTATGTTTATTCACGTAATTACGAAAAATATAATAATTAATTTTAATATGTCTTACGAAAGTTACAAAATGTTTATAGTATAAGTATCGTTTTACTTACAATTCCAAAACAGGACCATCATAAACAGTGTTAGGAGTGACCAGTCTCTTCACTGCGTGTAAAGACCTCATGGCTTTCTCTATGGCAAAGCTGATCTTCTCCTTATTTAACCCTCGAACTGTCGTATTGCGGCTTAAATAGTCCCAATTTGGCACTTTGAAGTTAATCAGGGTTATTATTTGACTTGGATTGGGGAATGTGTCTGTGGACAAAAGTATGAGTGTTATAGAAGTATACCAAGATTACCGTGTTTATGGCAGAGTAGAATTAATTTTTCATCATCCTTTCTCTTCGTTAGAAGCGACGCGACTGCACAGTTAGAGCGGTGGTTGGACAATCGGCTGCCGTGCAACATGTTGCGGGTTTGATCATCGCACGGAACAACCCTTTGTGTGATCCACAAATTGTTGTTTCGGGTCTGGGTGTCATGTGTATGTAAACTTTTATGTTTGTAAACGCAACCACGACACAGGAGAAAATCCTAGCGAGGGCAACGTTAAAATAAAAATAAACCGCCAGCAGCGCCATTTGATAACCGGATCGTTTTAGACTGATGGTCTTCTCCTGACCCTTTCAAACTGCGACCTTCAACCTGCCTACCAGGGGCGGACATTATGAAAAACCCCTTTTTATCTAGCGGAGGTCTATAGTCCATTAGTGGACTTTCATTGGTAGTGGATGATGATATCAAAAATTGAGCACGAGGACATATTCTACCAGATTTCGAAATAATAAACTTGTTCTTTACCTTATACTATCTTTTTTAGGGTTTAAATTTAAACAAAGCGATCAGTTTCTTACCAGTAGCTCTGCATTCATCCTCTTTCAGTCCCATACACTGATCAGCTAGCACTTGTGCCAATGTCGCAAGTTCACTGTCCCAGAACTGTGAAGAGGTTACAATAGAAATACATACTTTATTATTTGGAGATTATTGTTTCTTTTTGCTTGAGGGGAAAACATCATTCGATACCTCCTTCCACCCTGAATGAGGTGAAAGCAGGCATTGCATGATTTGTATTATGATGATTACTAGGCATTTCTTCTTCTTGACTAATAACTATACCCGTTCCAACTTCTTCTTCGAGTCTGAGTACCGGTAACCTTTAGTTGGCTACAGTCCCAGTCAGGCATCGAACTAAAAGCTTCGACCAACGCCTGAGGAGGTTAACGTTAGATGGTTGGTGCAGAAAGCAGTACTTCTGGATAAGGCGCATAATATCAGTAAAATCCTCTCTTTGAATCCTAACCACTATTATAGCTTTTTTAACGTCTGGAGGTATCAATGAAGTTAGTAAAAATGGTGTGGTTTTCTATAGTATCTCTGTATTGGATGATATCAATTACGAATGTATCTTAATTCTCATTCTTATTCTATAGTAAGAATTAACGTTATAATAATATGGCATACCAATTTCATCATTCCATATGCCCTTGGTAGGGGATGTCCATCTTTCCCAGTCTCCTTACCGGAGGCAACCCTCATTCTTATGCTGTAAATAGAAACCGTGCATTGTGATTAAAACTCTCAGAGTCTACCACTAGATGGCGGTGGTATCAAGGTTAATTATCCAAAATAATAATAATTTTAGTGGCGCTGTAAATGCTGCATTGAAAGAGAAAGTCAACGTGGTCATTGAAAAGGCTGAAGGTGCAAATTTTGAAGAGGTTTGGAGCCCGATGGATAATTGTTTATCGACCTAATTTTCAGTAGCAACCTGGTTTAGTATGTCTACATATAGATTCATCTTCTATGAAGTGGGACTTAAAAGATGACTGGCGAAACGTGAACTTATTAGCCAGACTTAAGTTACTACCAATCTATATATTAAAATGAAACCCGTTGTTACGCCATAACTTGAGAACGGCTAGATCAAATTGACTAATTATTTTTTGTTGTGTTTGTTATTTTCAGGGGAAGGTTCTTATGATAAAAAAAATCTTGAAAATCCTACGGGAATGGGAGAAAACGGGATTGCGCGTAGGAGCTAGTGAATAAATGAAAAACACTTACTCGTTAACTTCTTTAAGTATCTGGTGAACCATTTGTGGAGTGATTGTGACCGTCACGTAGTTTCTACATAGTGGGCCCATTGTTTGCTCCTGTCAAAAATAGTATCACTATATTTATGAAGGAATCTCCGCATAATAGAGTGCATGGTGAGGATTTTATTACGTTAACGCGATCGACGCGTTTATGACGTTCGGCTTTCTGATTGGCTGTTACAACTTAACCAACGAAGTAGATAGCTAAACGCGCTTTAACCTATATGAAACTTGGCACACTGATGGGTTTTTAAATCATAAAAACTAAGAATTTTATAGAAAGTCGGAAAATCCTTTCATCATAATTATGAACACAAATGTACTACCTAAATTGATAACCTATTCCTTTTTGAAGTCGCTTATAAAGACCTCGATCATGTCTGCTGTCGATTACCTCAAAAAGTACTAAAGCTACTTAATTATTTGCGTCTGCACGGTTTGTGCAGTCTTTGGGTGACAGGCTGTGCAACGTGTGGCGGGTTCGATTTGAAAATTGAAAATGGCATTTTCTGAGTAAAATGACCATAAGCTCTGTGTCAGGAAGTTCAAGTTCAGTGGTGATTCACCCTGGTGCCTTGGAAAGCATATAAAGCCGTTAGTTCTGCGCCTGAACTCTCTCTGGTCGTGTCGGTCTGCCGTCCCATCGGGTTCAGAGTGTGAGGGGAACAGAGAGTGCACTTGTGCACTATAATATCTACTACGTAGTGAGCTAGTCTTAGACTTGCCACCATGATCGAAATCAATTGGGAGATTTTTATTATACTCGCTACTGAACTAAAATACTAGGATAGTGAAAATTAGGCAGTACGTGTGGGCGAGCCATGCTTCGGCACGAATGGCCCGGCTCGACCGGAGTGATACCACGGCCTCATAGAAAACCGACGCGAAGAAACGCTTGCGTTGTGTTTCGTTGTATGAGTGAGGTTACCGGAGCCTCAATTACCCTCCCCTTCCCCAATCTCCCCAATCCCTGAATCCCCAACGATCCTCAAACTTCTAATCCCAAAAGGCCGGTAAGGCACTTGTAACGCCTCTAGTGTTCCAAGTGGCCATGGGCGACGCCGATTGCTTACCATCCGGTGATCCGTCTGCTCGTTTAGAGGCTTATGCCAAAAAAGTACGGTATATTACTTACAGGGTTATAATACATGCACATGACATGGGTGCCTTCTAGACAGTGTTTCATGGCTGGACAATAGTTCGCCACGTACAACGCATTCTGTGACCTGGAGTCTATCACTTGAGAGCATCTTGATAAGTACACTAAAGCAAGGATCAGTACTATCTGTATGATCTGAATCTGAAATGATTAATATAGATTAATACACGTCGTGACAGGTACATAAGGACATGGCGACGCGAACTTGACATCTATGACAAGGATTGGCCGCAAATCATAGGAAGCCTGTGCATCCAGAAGCAATGACGTTTGAAATATATTTACTCCTGAGGGCCTATTACGGAAATTCATTTTTATTTATATAGGTACTAGTTGACCCAGCAAACTTTGTTCTGCCTAAAGACTTTTTTTCGCGTTTTAAACCTTCCCTAGATGTCCACGAACATTTTCAAGACCAAAATAAACTAAATCGGTTCAGCCGTTCTCGAGTTTTAGCGAGAGTAACGAACGGAAAGGACTTCAACCAAAATGGGCTAAGTGTTGAACAACCGTATTGGAAAAAAAGGAATTTATACATAATTTAGTAATAATATTTAGTAAACATAGTCTCTATTCGGGAGCGTCAAAGTAAATAATAATAAAAACGATTAAAAAAGATTTTAAATTGAATATTCTGATTGTTGCTGCGCTCATATCATGTCTGTGGTATGGTATTTAAGCTGGGCAAGGTATGAAAATGTAACTCCACCTGCTCAGTTTTTAGACCATGTTTTATTAACATATGAAAATGAATAGTTTAAAATATTAAAGTTTTTTTTTGTTTTGTATTACCTATATTAATCAATTTGATACAAAACTTCTAATCTATACGGTTTCTTTGTATTGTAAGCCACCCAATAAAATCTAAAATAGTGCATTTTTTTATGTTCATGTTCTAGCCCAAACTTCATACAAAGTGGTTGATGTCCTTTATTTTTATTTACATACCTCTATATAGATAGATAGATACATTTTTTTTATAAGGCGTTAGTTTTAGTAATATCAAAGGAGTACTTACGTATAAGATCATCTTGAACTTGTCTCTGGACCAGTTTTAATATACTTTTCATTAATAAATCACTATTGTCCTTGTTGATTTAATTCTCCAAAATAATAAATTTCATAAGTATTGAATTTATTAACAACTGCTTTTATTATCTGATCTTAAATCACTTTTGTGTAGAGTTCAATTTTCTTTAACGGTTTAATTTTATTTAGCGTTTACTATGTTAGCATTTCATTGTATTTTTCTTTTTACGAAACATTTTTCTTGTCCTTCTTTTGTCTGTTGTATAGTTTAGTTTTGATATTTTGTTTCTTATTTATTTTTGTAGCTGTATTTCTAATTAGTTCCTATCAAGGCATGTGGTTTTCTAGAATGTTCGTTCCTTTATAATTTTTACGCTTTTTTATGTCAGCTCTGCATTTTATCGCTTCGAATACCGTTCTAAACACATTAACCGAACTATATTCTCTTTGTCAAACGGAAACGCTTTTTTTTCTTATATTTTTCTTTTGTAAATAGGACAAAATGTTTGTTCAAGAGTTTTAACGTCTTTGTTTTCTTTTTATATTACTGATAAAGGAATTTAGTTGATTATGTTCCATTTTTGATTAGAAGTTGACCATTTTTGTTTTTTGATCATTTAACGAGATTATTGTTGATAGCCGTTGAAATAATATTTTTAAGTACCTAATAATTGATGTTATTATGGAAGGATTATATGCATTGTAATAACAAATTATGACACAGTATTTTTTAAATCATTTATTTATATAAACTTATAATTGTAATGTAACAAAATGTTTGTACAGCCTTACTTATATTTGTAATAACTATTCTAGGAACTATAACGATAGGTTATATTTATGAACTATATATAATAATTATAATATCTAAAACAGTATTTGAATGTATTCTACAAACTCATATAATTAGTTAATTGCGAAGCACTAAGTAATAGTCAACAATATATTATGTGAGAGGTCAATGGACCCATAGATAAACAGATAGTAAACAATCAAGCATCACCTAGCTTCGCTCATGGACACCCGCTACACGAGAGCGTTGCCTGCCTACATGAAGAAAAATTATTTGTCATATCCTTCAAAATAGGAAATGTGTCATTGTCAGTTATGCTTTTTTTAAGGGGAAAGATCATTCAATGACTTCGGTTGATCCCGCCTTGGGTTAGGCGCCAGGGAGTGTCTGACTCTTATTGACTAAAACCACACCGTTCCTATTGCTGCTCTTCGATCCGCAGTTTCCGTTATGCTAACGTTTGGTTTAACGTTTTGTTGGGGCGTTTTGCCACCATCTCGCCTGGTATTAGCGATGATGTGGCTAACGATTAATGACGCCTATCTTCTTGCAATTTGGAGTCTTGCTAGTTATCCCCTATTTATAGATTTTTATTCTAGTTATAGGTTTCTATAATTATCTTCTTTTCAAAATGAATGTATAAATCTTGCACTCGACGGAATGTAGATGTTGTCAGATTTGGACCTTGTTCTTGATATACCCGATTTCATTCGACGCATTTGTCTGTCGCCTCCATGCTGAAATTATATATTATTTCAAATCAAATCAAATTGGATTAGTTATAATGTTTAATGGTATAACGTAGGTTACTTTCTGATAATACGCTTTTATGGGATAATTTAAATCAAATATTTTTATAATGGTTATGGGTCGGCGTTTGGCTACTATCTCGCCTGGTAGTAAGCAATTTTGTAGCCTACGATGGAGCACAGCCTATAAGTCATGTATTAACTCAGACCGAGAGGATATCCTTCGAGAAATACGATAATGTAGGATGCGGTAAAATAATGTTCCATGAGCAAAGTTCGTACAATATAAATGTCCATTGTTCAAAATTTATGAATAACAAAATTTTGCCTTCAGCAATGGTGCAAGAAATAGTCAATTAAAACACTTACGTCGCTCTTGTGTCTACCATTTCTTGAACTTGAACGAAGTCTTTTTTCAATGTTTTCTATCTTTTCTTGATAATATTTTCTTCTTTCTAAACTTAATGGATCATTTATGTCGTCATCGCGGTAATGATATATTTTGTTTCTTTTTACTTCTATTTTATCTCTATGCTTCCTGTCGGGTTCTTTGCTTCTGTGACCATCCCTGTCTTGACGATCATGGCTACCTTTTGTTAAGTCTCTGTTCCTAAATTTCAGTAAATTACTGTGTCTAATTGCATTATCTTCCATTGAAGTTAAGGAATTATGTTTAAATTCTCTGAATTCATTGAAATCTTTTCCTCCATGCTTAAACAATAAATTCTTATGAACTGGTAAGATTTCGTTAAACTTATGATTCAAATTGTCATCGTATTGATATCTTGGGTCATTTTCAATGTATTTATGTCTTATATCAAATTTGCGATCTAAATTGTTTTCACTGTACTTATTGTGATCAAGATTTTCGTTAAATTTATTTTCAAAATCGTCCATGTATTTTTGTTCCGTATCGGATTCATATTTATGACCATAATTGTAACTATGTTTGTTATGATCGTAAACATCACGTTTGCCTTCCGTATCACTGAATCCATTTTCATCTAAGTTATTATTGTGCTTTTTATGAAGCAAGTCATAATTAAACTTTTCTTTCCTTGAGTGTACTAAGTAATCATAATTTTTAGTATGACCCATTTGTGCATCTTCGTTGGGAGGTACACTACTTTTTCTTATTTCATGTGGATGTTTTTCGTCTTCAGTAAAATTGACAACTTCGTGCTTTCCAGAATTCTTCGAGTTACCGATATCGATTTCGGCAATATCTGAATCATAAGCGTTTGTAGTAATAGGTGAAAGTAATGTTGTGTCTGTGGTGCCTACGATAGATCCGTAAATTTTTCTAATTTTTGCATCAAACAATTCTTTTTCGTTGCCATCGAGTGCAATATGTTTCACTTCTTTCTCCAACGTATTAAGAAGAGACAGTAGCTTGTTGTCTTTGTCATTTTCATCTTTGACTATCACGTCTAGTGTGCGATTATCCATATTGTACTTCTTTTCCTTCAAGTACTGATTGAAATTAATGACTTTTTCTTCAGCAGTGTTTAAAATTATTTCAGTTGTTATTTCATCCGCGTGTACACTCGTGTGTGGTGTTTCTAAATCTGTAGTAATAACTTCTGAATGAACATCATTGTTTCCATCCCTTCTGTATGTAAACCGTTGACGTTTAAGATATTCATCGACTTCTTTATGTAAATTAGAAAAATCTTTTCGTGGTTGAACATCTTTTTTTGCTGTTACAAATGGGGACACCATGTTTTTCCTAGCTGGTAACTTGAATTTTGCTACTTTTGTGAATATACTAGATTTCTGAAAAAGTGAATTATTGGTTAGTTTATTCAATCGATGTGTTATTAAAAAAAAATTGTAATATGATTTTTATTTAAATTAAAACCTTCGTCACTTGTCTGTGGGATAGTCTCGGTGGTATTGGGGGTGGTCCTATCTTTGGTGGATCGAACTCATCATCAGAGTGTATGGCATCTATAGGTTGTGAATCATCATGTGCTCTTACAGCTGGTGTGTAGTCACGTTTTGGTGAAGTACGGGCGTGGGATGGCTTCCGTGGTAGTGGTCGTGGTGGGATTGGGGGTGGTGCACGAGTCCTGTGGTGGGTGCGAGCTAGACGTGGAGGTGGCAGAGGAGGAGGTGGTAGTGGAGGCGGCGGTGGAGGTGGTGGTAATGTAGGCGGTGGAGGTGGTACTCTTGGAGGGGGAAGAGGAGGATCTTCCATTGGTGGAAATGCAGGTGATGCTGCTGGCACTCTGTAACTGTAAAATATAATCAATGAATTGTATTCATAGTTCCAAGTGACAGGGTTAAGTTAAAGAAAACCATCGCGGCAGGATGACAATATATAGAACAAAGGGCGCTAGAAAGAATTTTGTTTTGTTTCTTAATATAAGTGCTTGGACAAACAGAACTTCATGGTATACTAACACCGTCTAGTGAGCACAAAAACAATAAATCCCATTCCAAGGGTCATGGTGGGGATTCAAAACGTATTTTCATTTAAAAAACTGGTCGTAAAGCAGAATATCGGACCTTTTATTCTTAAAATGGTCTTTTTTACATTCTATAGAACATTTTATAGAATTCTTTCCTCTATGGATATGCTGGATATTAAAAATCAAAACCTTACACATTAGACGACTGTGGTAATTTTTGGTTCACTGCTGGTCTGGCTGAATTTGATCTTAGTACATTTTGCGGAATACTCTGTAAACAACAATTTCATTATTTTTTTATGGGATAGTAACTATAGTAAGGCAACATACATACGGAATGCCTCATGGCAAGCAATCAGCCTCGCGATAGCTTAATTATTTGAACCCGCGGCACATTGCCCACTGCCCAGTCTTTGTGTGATCCACGAAACAACTCTTTGTGTGATCCAGAGTTGTTCCGGGTCTGGGTGTCATGTGTATGTGAACTTGTATGTTTGTAAACGGACCCACGACACAGGAGAAAATACTAATGGGGGGCAACGTTGTAAAAAAAACGATTAGATAAAATCGTATCGCCATTTTAGAAAATTTTTCTTTTCTTTGTTCATAAAAAATATTTTTTGGTAGCATGGTCTACCTGTTTTGTCCTTGGTCGTGGAGTAAAAATGTCAAACATATTATTTTGAGATTCTCTCATTCTTTGAGCGCCGCTGGAGTTATCCATTCTGTTGAAAAAATATAAATATTAAATTAACAACCCTATCCGTGCTCTCAGGGACATGATCGGCGATGGTGACCTCTCGTGTCCGGCCCTAGTGCGGGTCATGATGCGGAGCGAGGGGGACTGGGATGCCATCTTCTCCTTTTGCGAAGCAGTCACGCTAGCTAAGGAAGAGGCAGAACGCGTGCGGCAGCGAAGCGCTGCCTCCTCGCAACCCAGCCATCGCGAAGGACACTCCGGGTGTGGGGGATCGCGGGACGATCTCCGGCCACCGTAAGCGCAGGCCTGAGGACGGCGAGCATGGGTGGCTCACCGCCCAATCAG